GAACACCGCCATGCCCGTGGTTGTAACATTAAGAGATAGATAAAGAATCGACCATCATAAAGACTGAAAAATAAAATTGACAAAGCTTATTGTTTAAGGTTGATGGACACGAATGTCTTAATTAGTTTTTTTTTTTTTTTTTTTTTTTTTTTTTTACGAATTGGTCAAACCCAAACTCAAACAAAAACATTGTTTCAATCGTTATGAGTCTCCACCGATTAAATAGAATTTTATTATAAACAATTGTCTTGTAAATGGAATTTTTAAAGCATTCTGAATGTAAAAATAAAGAAAAAAAAAAGTGCAAGACAATAAGAAACACTACCTGCCAAAAAAAAGTGAAGTTTTGTTGAAATCAGTTGAAAAATGTAGGAAATCTGATCCCATATATAAACGAACACACACACACACACACACACACACACACACACACAAACAAACAAACAACCTGGATTTTATAATAAGCATAACTCGATATGAGTTGTCCCCCTTTCATTCTGGCGACAGAATCGTGTTTTATCGTGTTTTCAAATTGATTTCTTGCAAAAACAATTGTGGTTTTCTAATTTTTGGCGCTGTCAGAACCACCGCAAGGTAATCTTACGTAATTCTGTGAAGTTTTGTTGAAATCGGTTGAAAAATGTAGGAAATCCGATCCAATATATAAACGTACACACACACACACACACACACACGCAATCTACGTTTTATAATAAGTAAGATGTTGATAGTTTTAATCACTTGTAACGTGGCATTTATCACACCACAGTCTGTTGTAACGGCTCGGAACGTTCCAATATGTCGCTATATTCACCTTAGCGTAAATAGTACTGGTAAATGGATTTTTGTTTCTTAAGTCATTTTACCCCAAGCAAGGCGATAATAGTCACTAAGATGCATGAGTTTACTTAGAGTGAAAGTAACACAGAGTGCAATGAAAGAACATCATTCAAGGAGACCGAAAACAAAGATTTACGTTGCACGTAAACTTTTGAAGATCGCAGTTGACAAGAGAGCAAGAAGGCAGGAGTTCCATAAGCGAGACGTACGAAGAAGAAACTATAAGCATAAAACTTATGGTTACAACTAGGAATTTCCACACTAAAATGATGGGACCGCACTCCAATCTAGTACTGCACTTAAATTTGCAAAGTCGCTATACCAACAAGGAGAGATCAGCATCAACAATTACCGTGAAAATACTTATAGAAGAGGCAAAGAAAAGCTACGCGGTGGGAATGTCCCTGAAACCGATGTTAGACATTTCCATGACGGTCGTCCTTGAGTATTGAATCCAAGGGTTGGCAGTGAATATTTCGGAGACAGTGGGAACGCGTAGTGAAGGTTCGCAGTGGATATCACAGCAGAGTATAGTTCATCCTTCTCCTGGTCTCCTTTGGTCCTTCTGGTAGACGAAACAAGATGGCCGCCTTTATACACGATGAATACAGTGTTGTGCGGCTTCTAATTGGTCAACCTACCATTGGTCGACTATAAAGGGAAATAAGTCATTCTGACTCGCTCACTAGTTACGGGTAGTATATACCCAAAAAACCGTAACAACCGAGAGGCAAGATCAGGACGGATATCATTGCAGATTTGTTTGGATTTTTGTCATGAATCTCTAGACATATACCAGAAGCAATTAGGCCATATGTGGCAACAATAGAATGGTAGATTTATAAATGTGCAAGTGCTTTATCGCTTGTTTCTTGTTTAGGATTCGGTTTCCGGTTCCTTCTAAAGTCTACTTATTCTTTTCCACGCTAATATAACTCCACACGGTAACCCTCTACCTTGAGTGGCTCTTGGGTCTCTTGGTTAAATAATTAGTAAAGAATAGATTCTGGCAAGAAAAAAATTGTCTAGCACGGCGTAGTGAACTAACACCCTGGTAGTAATTGATTCTCTATAACCATTCCATTTCATGTCAATGAAAAACGTGAGACCAACAAAGCGCGCTTAGTTAATCTCCTGAGGCTTAGCTTAAGCCATATTGCTGGAAAGCAAAAAAAAGTTCTCTTAGAAGATAAATGCAGACCAGTTTCGTTTTAAAGGCGTTAAAATTGGCAAAGAACTTTTTACTTGCATTATTTACACTATTCGGACTGTTATCCTCATCTTCATTGCCACATTCACAATGTTTCGGCCGTTGTATCCGCCAGCCTTCTTCAGGTGATTGGAATTTCGAAGCGAACCCTTTATTTTTTCCACTGGGAGTAGATTGTTCTAGTTCCACGTGCCATGCCTCTTCCGGATGTCTGAGTTATTTCTCTTTAACACAACTCTCCAAGGAAACATGGCCCAGTGGATAAAGACGTTGGTTAGAACCCACTGACTAGAACCAAAGAGCTGTGAGTTCAATACCAGGCCACAGCAGTGGTGAACCAAAAACTTGGAGAGTTGAGTTAAAGGGAAATAACGGAGACGAGGTATGACACGTGGAACTAGAACAATCTACACCGGTGGACGAAACAATGGGTTCGGTTCGAAATTATAGTTACCTGAAGAAGGTCGGTGCATACAACAGCCGAAACGTTGTGAATATGGCAATTAATATGAGGATAACCTTCGGTATAATGTAAATAATTTAAGTAATCATAATACCTCATCTCAGAGATATAGACAGATGTGACATTTTTTTTGCTGCAATTCACAACAGATTGTAAAAGATTATAGTCTCCGCTGCATTCTACTACTGTCTGTTATCGTTATTTTATTAGTACCGTATATGCTGGCGTACAAGGCAATTGAGCGTATAAGACGACCACCAAATTTTCAAGTTACAATATAGATTTCAGGCTATATTCGCCGTACAAGACGACCCCACTGCCACCAAATCGTATTTTAAAATGTATTGAATTTATTAAATAAATTCAGGAAGCATATACTTTCTTTTCAGTCAAATTGTAAAGAAAAAAAAAAACGATGGTGAGATATTGTCAATTAACTACCGAAGTATACAATACCTCGCGAATGTGTGCTGTGTTTTCGATAGGTTCTTACGGTAGCCTGGATGACTTTCCTCCGCTAACCATCAACTCGTTTCACTGTTCTCGAATGCGATCTTTAAGCAGCTTGTTGCGGCACACATCCACTTATGGTTTTGTTCAACATCGTCGAAAAAAGGAGGCGAGATATTGTCAATTAACTACCACAGGATTTATACTTATTTTGCGGCATATTTTTTAAGATTAAAAGGTCGCTTTTCACACTGACATATATGGTATCTTTAATCAATATTATTAGTCAAAATACTCTTCATCATTATCGTTATTTTAATATTAGCTTTAATCTTACTTATTATAAAACGCAAACTGTGTGTGTGTGTCTGTTCGTTTATATATTGGATCGGATTTCCTACATTTTTCAACCGATTTCAACAAAACTTCACAAGACTACGTAAAATTACTTTGCGGTGGTTCTGACAGCGCCAAAAATTGGAAAAAAACAATTGTTTTTGCACGAAATCAATTTGAAAACACGATAAAATACGATTCTGTCGCCAGAATGAAAGGGGGACAACTCATATTGAGTTATACTTATTATAAAACCCAGGTTGTGTGTGTGTGTGTGTGTGTGTGTGTGTGTGTGTGTGTGTGTGTGTGTGTGTGTGTGTGTTCGTTTATATATGAGATCGGATTTCCTACATTTTTTGCAAACTGATTTCAACAAAACTTCACTTTCTTTTGGCAGGTAGTGTTTTCTTATTGTCTTGCACACTTTTTCTTTTATTTTTTACATTCAGAATGCTTTAAAATTCCATTTACAAGACAGTTGTTTATAATAAAATTCTATTCAATCGGTAGACTCATAACAATTGAAAACAATTTTTCAGTCTTTATGATGGTCGATACTTGATCTATCTCTTACCGTTACATACCCGGGCAACGCCGGGCTCTCCTGCTACTCTCTTATATGCTTTCCCTTTATTGCAATACTTTGGATTAATACACTTTTCATTCTTATGAATAATTTAACGTATCTTTAATCCGTCATTATTTTTATATTTTATTCGAACACCCTGGGCTGACGCTTCTTCACTCGCTCCAGAAAACAGCATGAAATTAAATTTGTATGCGTACCTCGAGAGGTAGCCTATCAACGACGTTGTCATAAGCACTTCAGCCGCGAGAATAATGGGATAAATTAGACCACAACGAGTTTAAATCTCGTCGGGAACCACTTACTTGTACTTTTTTTCAAGGCCGAAGAATGTATCAAAACAGGATGTTGGGTTAAAACGCAAAGTTAATAATGTATGGTAATAAAATAATAGATAAAATGTTTCATTTGAATTTAAGAATAAGAGTTAATATTGTAACCTGTTTCATCATGCTTAGTAACACAGATTTGATTGCCAACCTCCTGACAATAACCATTTGCTCATGTCTTCTGGAGATGACACACTATGCATCTTTGTTCATCTGGGGAAGAAGGGAGCATCATGGCCGCATCTTCGCATGAATATCCTTGGGGGATGTACGAATCCACCTCTTTCCCGCCCAGCTATGAGTTAAATAATTGAGAAACGTTGGATCTTTATCCATGGCTGGCAAACAATCTATGAGAAGGACACATATAAAATTTCAAAACCCAGTCAACTGAAGTTGTACAAATACATGGACTGCGGATATTATAGCTGTAAAATTACGACTATGGATGATCCGAATGGATAGAGATTATCCAGAATTCAAGTTACACAGTATATTTCTGGATGGCAACAATAAATCGGCCTGAAGAGATTAGCATTTCATGCTGTATTTCCTATCAACACGAAAGCGACATTTCTTTCTGACCTTAAAATTAAATGTACTGACATGACCTATGAATATTATTAACTCGTATATGTCACAACAGAAATGCACAACATCGACAATCTAAAAATGAAAACGATTTGAACTTAAATCATTTCCCTTTCGGCTGAATTTACATAAATGTCTATAAAATGTGATTTCCTCCAAAATTTCTCCAAACACCACGTATAATAAAATGTCCACATGTCAATAATAAGTCACAATTTCTTCCTGCTCATATCTATCTATCTATCTATCTATCTATCTATCTATCTATAGTATACTTTTTCACATATACATTTATATATCTATTTCAGTGTATTCCTATCTATCTATCTATCTATCTATCTATCTCTCTCTCTCTCTCTCTCTCTCTATATATATATATATATATATATATATATATATATATATATATATATTTTTCAATTAAAAGGTGCAATTATAATTTATAAATTCATGAATCATTCATACAAAAACAAATATCATTAACCTCTATTTTGTTTTTTTGTATGAATGATTCATAATTATAAATTATAATTTGCACCTGCTAATTGAAATTAAAATAACTGATCCAACGTGCAACTTTCGGATAATAAATGTGACATTACTGTAATTATTGAACAATATAGTTCATGCCACATTGACGGAAAATCTACCAGTAAAAAAGAATTCTCTTATTGCTATATTTGTACAAAAACGCACAACCTTAAAATTTAAATTTCAAACTCAGCGTTGCGACCGCACGTTCCAAAAGAATAACACATTTCTCATAACATTTTTTCGGATTACATCTCTATTTTCGTTGTCCTCTTATTACCTAGAAGTAAAAACAAGAACAAAATTTACTTCCATAACTGAGGATGTCTGTAGGAACAGACGAAAGCTTGTAAAAAATTAAAAAGACCTTATGCAACTGGAATTTGTAAACAGGGATCATATCATTCATATACAGGTTCGGGGTTGGTGTATCTTATTTATATTGTTTGCGAGGATGTATTTTCGCCATTTAAATCATTAACCTCTATATTTGTTTTTTGGGATGAATGATTCATAAATATATATATATATATATATATATATATATATATATATATATATATATATATATATATAATTTTAAGGTGTACTATATTTATGGGATTAAGTGCTCACTATCAGAAATAGAGCGTATGTAAATATAGATATAAAAGTGAACATTGAAGTCAACACTCAGAGGCGACGAGCTGTTTCGAACTTGGCGCAATCGTCAGATCGCGGCCTGACGATTGCGCCTAGCATGAAACAGCCTGTCGCTTCTGAATGTTGAATTCAATATTCACCTTTATATATATATATATATATATATCCGAATGTAAAATTCTAACGTTCGCAGAATTAATTCAAAAGAGGGCTCAATACCAATAGTAGAGCAATAATTATTTATTATAATTTTTTCATATAGACAAAAACAATTTACTCACTACAAAGATGCGACTTCGTTTCGGTGAATTTAGTTGTACCTCGACTGGTGAAAACCAAAATGGTTATGAATAATTCTGTTTGTAAGCAGGCCGCACGTAAAACGTCACTTCCTTTTTTCTATATGTTTGAAAACAATTAGGAGGAGACGAATACGCATAAAAAGATAGGAAAGGAAAATGGCGACAGAGTGAAATAATAGTGCTTGTTGATAGCTGTTAGGTGAAGGATTATTGACGTGTTAAAGTGATGGCGCGACCAAAAAAAAAATTATCGACAGCAACGGTCAAGGGTTTAAGCACAACATTTCCAAAACTTCTAAGTATTCGGGTGGTGGAGGGGGGGAAGTTAGGAATAGGAGAGTAAGTCGATGAAAACAGATTTTCCATTTAACCTTAGGAGTTTTGCTTTCCGCCATCGAAACAGAATTATTCATAACCATTTTGGTTCTCACCAGTCGAGGTGCAACTAAATGCACCGAAACGAAGTTTCATCTTTGTAGTGAATAAATTGTTTTTGTCTATATGAAAAAAATTATATATATATATGTGTGTGTGTGTGTGTGAAAATTATATAGAAAATAGGAAAGAACTCGTTAGGTAAAAATAAACAAATTTAGACATCCCAACCTTACCCTGACTTGACGTCTGTGAATGTAACTGAGATATTGATACAAATTATTAACACCTTACGCCCCTTTTCTTTAAACAATTGCTCTAGCCGTTACCATAGAAATTTTGATTTCAATAATGAATATGCTTATAAAACGCGTAAATTTCAGAAATAAGTTATTCCCAAAAAATTTCGCTTGAAGATGGAACAGAGCTTAGTACTTTAATTCAATTTAATTCAAATAATTATATTGAAGGTTTTCGGCTCTTGTTTTGAAACATGAGAACTCTTATGTAGCGTGTTGGAATCATATTTTTAAATAAATAATTATATATATATATATATATATATATATATGAATAAAAATGACAATAGGAAATGTGGACTTCATCAAAGCAAAATACGAAATGAATTTAATTGAACAAGGTAACAAATAAAAACAAAAAAAAACAGAATGTTCCTAGCAACTGGAATGTAGAGAACGTATCAACACTGTAATAATGAATGTAGAGAATATATCAACAAATATATAATGACAATATTCTCCATACGTGACAAATACTGATATTATTTTCAGTTAACAATATGAAAATAGCGTTCTAAAAAACTAATTCATCTTTCTTCCGTGATTTTCATTCTGACTGAGCCTCTTGCTCTATACGTTGAAATTCACTTCACTCACTAATAACCATCGGACGAAAGTAAATGTTCTGTATGCAGGTCTCACTGTTTTCAATTTAACAAGACCTCAGTTGACACATATTGCTACGTTACTGACTGCGAGAGAATATGAGAAAAATCACTATTATGGAGAGAGAACAATAAAAGAACAAGAATTAAGAAGACTGAAGACTGATTGCATTTACATTTTTTAAATCAAAGTTGAGTGGGAAGCAATGAGCCGGAAGAGAGATCCACAAGCAAGAAGTGTGAGAGAGGAAACTGTTGGTATAGAACCTACTGTTACGTTATATGTGTTGCAAATGCTTATGTTCTGTAAGGCAATAAAGCCCCTAAAACACAAGGAGGTTACTGAGTGTGAGAGAATATAAGAAAAAAAAAACACTATTAAGTGAAGGGAACAATAAAATAACAGGAATTCAGAAAACAGAAGATAGCGATTGACATTGCATTTACATTTTTGATCTCAAAGTTAACTGGGAAATAAGGAGCCGGAAGGGAGGTTGGCAAACGAGAAGTGCGTGAAGAAACTCTTGGCATAGAACTTACGGTTGCATATTATATGTACGTGTTTCAAATGCTTGTTCTTGTAAATAACCTAGTAATTTATAGATGAAAACTTTATTTTACGTTCGTCTGTTGTTACGTATTATTTTATCTGTGATCTTTTCTTGATGGCATTTTTCCATATGTCTATTATTGTTAGTACTTTTTTTTTTCTAATTTTTTGTCAATAGTTCTGTATCAATCGGAGCACCAGTAGAGACCTTACCATTCTTGCACGAGTACAATTATAATGACAGGAGAACTCTATGTTTGAATGAAGGGCATTCTCCATAATTTTTCATGATACCTATATCTTAGAATTATGGAGAGAGAGAACAATAAAATAACAAGAATTAAGAAGACAAAAGATGGCGATTGACATTACATTTAAATATTTGAAGATCAAACATGAAACTGGAAAAAAAGTTTCACAAGCAAGAAGTGCGAGAGAAGAAACTATTAGCATAGAACTTACGGTTACATCTCGCCATTTCCATTTTTAAATTGATATGAACTTGACGCCACTTTGATACTGCGCTTAAATTTATAAAATCTATGTACCATAGCGCAAAGTAATATTATTATACAAAAATGTGGCACAAGGCTAGAAGGTGGGAGAGAGGCTGGTTTTCAATCTGTCTTATCTTAAACTTAGTTAACCACGATTACTGACCCAAACATACAACAGTATTCCTTATACTAAAACAACGTATTTTTACTTTTCATTCCTACTACAGCCATCGTAATAGCCCAAAGTCTCCATGAAGTCCTATATGTTCAATTCGTCGGGGGGGGATGAATATAATATCATTTTAAAACGAAACCCAGTGAATATTTACAATGAATACCATTGAGGAAACTTCATCAATTACTATGAAATTATTTATAGAATTAGCACAGGGAAGCTACGTTATGGCAATGGGGAAAACGACTGAAGCCGAGATGCCAGGTCAAGATCAATAATATTGCAGATTCTTTTTATGTATTTTATCAAAAACTTCTAAATACATACCAGAAGAACCAATGTCCCATACAATCTTCTTGTATTATCCACTAATAAAAACAGGAATCATTCAAGGAAAGCCTTAGACATCAACTGCTTAACTGCTATGGAAAACGTTGCGTCACTTTTTATCGTAAAACATAAGAGGCCTGAATTTCAAATTATAAATATTTGATAAGTAGGACATAAAGGTCTGTTCGAACAGCTAGGAAAATTTGATTCATTTGTGAACGCGCAAGACAAGAATATGTCTACTCGCCAGACTTATTCAACATTTACAGTGAAGCAATCCTAAGAGAACAAGAAGGCCTACTAGGAATTATTATCAGTGGGCAATCATAACGACATAATATATGCAAATGACACGGTCATTTTATTTACGCAAACAGTAAACTGTAGGAACGTCTAGACAAAGTAGTAAAGAAAAGCGAGTAGGATTTGAGGAGTAGTAAATTTCCTCAAGTTTTTCCATTTTTCTGTGTATAATAATTTCTCCATCTACTGCCTTCCTAATTCTCAGCTATTTTGAACAAAGACTACATTACAACAATCACACAGACACACACACACACACACAGACACACACACACACACACACACACACACACACATATATATATATATATATATATATATATATATATATATATATATATATATGAAAATATATATAGAAAATAGGAAAAGAACTGGTTAGGTAAATAATCCAAGAAATACGTTATTCCAAAAAAAATTTCGCTTTAAGATGGAACAGAGCTTACTTTAACTCAATTTAATTCAAATAATTATATTGAGGTTTTAGGCTCTTGTTTTGAAACATGAGACCGATATATAATTTTGTATAATTTTAAATACAAACAATATAACATTTAGAAAAATATTATGACAAAATTTTCCAATTTGTCATACTATATATATATATATATAGTATGACAAATTAGAAAAAGTTGGAAAAACGACTTACATGCCTTATAT